ACAGTTTTTATACAACTCTAATTGCAGGATAACATCTTTTTTTAATAAATTAAAATCTGGTTAAAAGTTTACTTGCAAAGGAATTGAGTCTTTGCCACAAAATTAAATTTTCTAATTTTCTAATTTTCTATTTCAAACTTTATTATTTTGATCTCACTGAATTCACAGTTCTATATCTAAGGTCTACCACTTTGGCTTGCAGAATCAGAGTTTGTGGCAAAGACTCAATTCCTTTGCCATTTAGAAATTTGTTAATGCTTCTTTCATATTTCTTATTTCTTTTTTTATTATTTTTATATAATGATAAAAGTACAAATTTGACTATGCATTTGCTTAAATATTCTATTCGAATAGAGATTGAAATAATAAAACATCAATATTTATCAAAGATTTGTTAAAAACTAAAACATTTTTCGAAATAACTATTTTTGAATTTTTGTATTCACAGCTTTCAATAACCAAAGAGGATTAGAGGATTATATTTATTTTTAATTAAAATTAAAGTTTGTTGAGATTTAATTAAATTGAGTTTCTAAGGTGCAAATTGAGAATATAGTGGTTTTAGTAGACATAGTTGTACAGTTTACAAGATGGCTTTGGTAGACATAGTTGTACAGTTTACATGTTGGTTTTAGTAGACACAGTTGTACAGTTTATATGTTGGTTTTAGTAGACATAGTTGTACAGTTTATATGTTGGTTTTAGTAGACACAGTTTTACAGTTTATATGTTGGTTTTAGTAGACATAGTTGTACAGTTTATATGTTGGTTTTAGTAGACATAGTTGTACAGTTTATATGTTGGTTTTAGTAGACACAGTTGTACAGTTTATATGTTGGTTTTAGTAGACATAGTTGTACAGTTTACAAGTTGGTTTTAGTAGACACAGTTGTACAGTTTATATGTTGGTTTTAGTAGACATAGTTGTACAGTTTACAAGATGGCTTTGGTAGACATAGTTGTACAGTTTGGAAGACAATTGTGCTGTTACACCGGGGAAATGGAGGAAAATGTTGCGGTTTTCACTTAGGAATTGGAGGATAGTTGTACTGTTACACCTGGGAAATGGAAGAAAATTATGCTGTCAATTACTTGGTAAATGGAGGACAATTGTACTGCTATACTTGGGAAATGAAGGACAATTGTACTGCTTTACTCGGGAAATGATGGACAATTGTGCTGTTACACTTCAGAAATGGAGGACAATTGTGCTGTTACACTTGAGAATTGGAGGACAATTGTGCTTTTACACTTGGGAAATGGAGGAAAATTGTACTTTTACACTTGGGAAATGGGGGAAAATTGTACTTTTACACTTGGAAAATTATATATAGTATTGTACAGTTTACATCTAGAAAAAGGAGGGAAACTGTTTTTATTCATGGAAATGGGAGGTCACATCATCATAAAGTTACAATGTACATATCGGAAATGGCGGGACAAATTATGCAGTTTACACGTGAGAAACGTAGGACATCAAAAATGGACACATTGGAAAATGGCGGGAGAAATTGTACATTTGCAGGTTGGAAATAGCGCCAAGTCTGGTTTCTGATGTGTGGTGGGATGTATCACAGGATTTACTGGTGGATTAGTTGACACACAGGAGGAGGATAATAATGGATGGAAGGATTCAAAGACTTAGTCTCATATATTCACTAGATTTATATATAAACAATAATTATCAGAAAATACACAACGTGGGGGAGGGGGGTATTTACCAGACATATCAACAATACTAATAAGAAATACACAACGGGGGGGGATATATACCAGACATGTAAATATTACTGATTAAAACATATATGTACACAAGGGGGGTATTTACCAGACATGTAAATAATACTGATTAAAACATATATGTACACAAGGGGGGGGGTATTTACCAGACATGTAAATAATACTGATTAGAACATATATGTACACAAGGGGGGGTATTTACCAGACATGTAAATAATACTGATTAATTTGGAAAATAGCATGTGCCGTCCTTATTATGAATAATTTATAACTTATATGAACTTTATATATATATTTGTGTAACATGTTCATGTATATATATGAATATATGATATATAATAGTTCTCAATATCCAATATATATTGTGTATAATATAGCCTGGATTTGTATGAGAGTACAATGTGCATATATTATCTCCTACCCCAGACTGTTCTCCTGTTTTACTAAACACATAAAGTAATATAATCAAATAATATTTTCATTTTTTTGTTTAATGAAATTTTTAAAAATAAAATATTCCAACCCAATCTTTAGTTAATAGTTAAAAAGTAATATGAGTGTGTAACAAAAACAATAAATTCAGTTTAAGTTTCAGGAATACTTAAACTTTGAACGAAGAAAAAGTAGTAGTTGTACACTTGGATACACACATACAGAATATGTTCCGCCCCCCCCCCCCCTCGTGTTACATATTCACACTTTTCAGATGTCCTAGTCTAACGTCTGTAATTCATTAAATGTAGGCTTCCTCATTTTTTCTATTTCACTTTTATTTAGTTTTCTTGAGGTATTTTGAATAATAGATAATTTATTTACTGACTTTATGTTGAAGAACTCCAGGAAATACAATAACATAAATGTAGTACACTTGTAATTTAAAAAATATGTTTTGGAAGTTGCCATTTTGAAAACTTATGTTTACAAAGTTCCCATTTGGGAATTGCGTTTGGAAAGTTTCGACAGGAGAAATCTGACAGAAAAACTGAAATTTGGGAATTGAGCTTCCCATTCGGTAAATGCGTTTATGAAGTTGGGATTTGGGAAATGTGGTTGTTTTTAAAAGAACTTTATGTAGGAAGCTGCTTTTCGGATATTTTTTTGTGCAATTCCCCATTTAGAAAATATATTTGTTGAGTGATTATTTGGAGAGTATGTTTGAAAAATTCCTTTTTAAAATGTGCGCTAAACTTGTTTACAAAAAAATCACAGTTTGTAATGAATATATGTCATATCCAGATGAACTGGAGAGTAGAGTAGAGCTAGGGTATCCACTATGTCTACCTACATCTATTCTCTAATACATAATTTATATATCTGCTACTTAATTCTTACAAATGGTTCGCATATCATATATTACAGTGTGCAGTATATTTATATATGTTAAATATATATATATCATCATTAACATTATGATTAGTCTGAGTACTGTTGTTAAAGGAAGAGATAACAAATTTTGAAATAGAGTAAAGGACAACTTATTAAATAAAAAAATGGAAGAACATCCAAAATAATTTTATATTTAAGTTTCCATTATAAAAACACTGTTTCTACTAAACCTATTCCTACTACATTTTAGATAGGGTTTCCATCAAAAAATTTCGCATTTTCCGTGACAAAAATTTGTTTGTTGACAATTTCTCATTCTTTCGAATTTCGTTCACTCGCGAAAAAATGCGAAAATGTTTGCTTTTTACGTGAAATTTCGCTTTATATTGTGTTTTGAGAAAATTTTGCAAAAAAAGCGAAAAGTTTGCAAACAAATATAATTGCGAAAATGTCATTGTGAAAAATTCGACAATTTTGCTAAAAAAGTGCGGAAGAGATTTTATTAATTATATAATATTAAAACTTCTAATGCTGAGCTTGCGCAATTAATTGTTGTTTTTTTTTAGCAAAATTTTGCCTCATTTTTGCACTTTTTCATTCATTCATGGGTAAACACAATTATATTGGTTTTTTATTCGGACCGGCATGTGACTAGTCTACTGTGGAAGATTCCACCTGATTGGACTTTAAGGCTTCCAACTCCCTATTTTGCATAATCAGTGCAGTTATGGGTTTCTATAATTCCGCTTAAGTCGGAAAGACTTTAAAACAAAGGAAAACAGGGAGCAGTCCCTCAAACCCTTCCACCTTCAAACCTCCTTATCTCTCCTACCTGCTCCACAACTTGATGTCACAATAACTATTTGGAGAGGCCTCAAAGCGTAAAAACAAGTATTAAGAAGCATGAAGAAAAAAGAAAATTGAACAGGACAAATTGGAAATTGGAAATCTCTGATGATAAGCCTCACACTATCATATATAATCATTTAAGCCGTTAGTGAATGAAGACAAACATTAGAGATGGGGGCTTGGAATACGTATTTCCCCNCCCCCCCCCCCCATTTATTTCACTCTAGGAAGAAGAGAGATAGTATCAGAAATTGTGTGTTTTGATGAGTAACACTTGAGGAAACAATTCAATACAGAGTTCAGAAAAAAAGCAAGATCCTCTCAGCATAGTTATAGGTTGTAACTTGGCATACTGCAAAATATCCCGAAATTTTATCTTTATTTTTTTCAAAATTAGCTGAAGTATGATTGAAAGATGTACAAACAAGAAGAAAAAGAAGGACAAGAAATATAGAAATGTAAAAATATTTTCATCTGATGTCATTTAAATATTTAATTTTTAAAAAATTTAAAAAAAAAATAAAAATGTAAAAAAAAGAATTAAATTTTCGTTTGCCGAAAATCCTAATTTTAACCCTGTCCCTATCCAGATGGACTATTTTGACAAAATTATCAAGTGACAAAAAACCATTTTAGATATTTTGGGAAGCAATAATTAGCTATTTTCTTACCTTTACCCCATTAACTCGATTTTATTGCTACATTTTTCCAATTATTGATCAGCGTTTAATTTAAACATTTCATGCAAAAGAACACTTTTTCAATTATTGAATAGGGTTTAACTTAAACTTTTCATGAAAAAGAACACTTTTTCGATTATTGAATAGGGTTTAACTTAAACTTTTCATGAAAAAGAACACTTTTTCAATTATTGAATAGGGTTTAACTTAAACTTTTCATGAAAAAGAACACTTTTTCAATTATTGAATTGGAGTTAACTTAAACTTTTCATGCAAAAACACACTTTTTCAATTATTGAATAGGGTTTAACTTAAACTTTTCATGAAAAAGAACACTTTTTCAATTATTGAATAGGGTTTAACTTAAACATTTCATGCAAAAGTACACTTTTTAAAGTTCGTATTATTTCAGATAATATTGATTTTTGGGATAAAACAAGAAAATGAAGTATGAGTGAATGAACGAAAGACTATGTTTGAGGTAAAATTTTCTTTCATTTGTAATTAGACAAATCAATTCAATGTGGCAATTTTAGTATTGATCAAGACAAATGTCCTATAGCATATTTTTCGGAAACAGCATTGACGAAAATAGGGAAAGCAAGGAAAATGGAAAAAGGATTTTTTTTCTCTCAATTTAATTGTAAAAAAGTAAAACCATAGTCGACTGAGAGCAGCATAAATATTGAATAATTTAGTTTTAATAATCCTAGTCCGAATTTAAATAATTTGAGACGCGGCTCAAACATGGTTGGTTCCACTCGAAATTGTATTCAGTGTTTCGAGATTTAAGCCGGCTCTCAATTGGAACCGGTTTTTGTTGGTTAAGCGTCGCGGTTAAACTTCTTTAAATTCGCCTCCGATGTTTAAAAAATTATTTTTATGTCTGAAGTCGTCGGAGTCTGGATTTCTTTTTTCTTTTGGGCAAAGTTAAATTGTTAAACTGTTTAGAAACTGTTTAGATATGAGTTCAGAGAAACTGTCCCATGCAGTTGAAGAGTTGAAGAGTCCTAACTTCAGATCTTATATTCAAACAAGTTTAGGAAATCAGAATATATACATATTTATAAATAAACAGCCAACAACACTTTTAGAAATCATTTTAAGAAAGTTACATGAGCACTGCGCGACTTCTGTCATAATTATATCAGAGAAGTAGTTCAACTTGAAAACTACTGCAGTTCAACTTAAAAAACTAGTACAGTTCAACTTAAAAACTACTACAGTTCAACTTGAAAACTACTGCAGTTCAACTTGAAAACTACTGCAGTTCAACTTGAAAACTACTGCAGCTCAACTTGAAAACTACTGCAGCTCAACTTGAAAACTACTGCAGTTTAACTTGAAAACTACTGCAGTTCAACTTGAAAACTACTGCAGTTCAACTTGAAAACTACTGCAGTTCAACTTGAAAACTACTGCAGTTCAACTTGAAAAATACTGCAGTTCAACTTGAAAACTACTGCAGTTCAACCTGAAAACTACTGCAGTTCAACCAGAAAACTACTGCAGTTCAACTTGAAAACTTCTGCAGTTCAACTTGAAAACTACTGCAGTTCAACTTGAAAACTACTGCAGTTCAACTATTTATTTCTTGGTTTCATATTAAGAATAATATAGAATTATTCACTGAAAAGAAATTGAGTCTTTGCTGCAAAATTTGATTTTCTAATCTATAGATCTTTGAAACCCAATGCAGTAGACCTTTGCTATTCCAAGCTATGATTTCTGTTAGATTTAACAATCTAAGCTTGAAATATCATATTTGTACACCATCAGGTTATACATTTATACGGATTAGAAAATAAGAATTTATGGAAAAAACTTAAATTCTTTACCAATTAGTAAAATGTAGATACTGTAGAACTAATTTCAACTTTTAAGTGCCCTCGTCCGCTCGTTTAAAAAATAGCTAGAAGAATAAGGATATCTCGTCATCCTTGATTAGACAAAGATTTAAAGAGGTACAAATATAGAGCTTCTTGAAATAAAATATACAGTCCCTTTAAAGAGGATGTTAAATAGATCTTGACAACTGAAGCTGTAGAATTGAGATTTCAAGTTTGTAATGTATATATATAATGTATATAAACAAATACATGAAACAAACTGAATAATTAATGTAATCCACTCTTCATATTGAAATCACAACTCCTACATTAGATTATAATTGGTTAAAGGGGGATACCGTGGTAGGCTATTATGTCAATATAATGAAGACGACTTTCGATTTCAATATTGATGTATATTAAGCTTTTAAACAGAATGGATACACAAAAACATTGAAACAAAGAGAACCTGTCAAGTAAAAAAGCTTCTCTTTAATTAGTTGTAAACTTCTAATCGAAAAAAAAACTTTTTAACAATAAAAACTAAAATAAAAAAGTTGGCTTTATTATATTGATATAATCGTCTACCACCGTATGTATTTTGAATTCTTTCATTTCTTAATTACTCTGAACAAGAACTACTACTATTGTAAGTTGTACACCACCAAAATCTAATAGAACCTAAATGGTGGCAAAAAAGTCCTTAATTTGCACCGTAGCTTTGGGTCCGGTCCAAATTTCGGAAATAAATTATTTGGTTAGGTTAAAGGGTGTTCCTTTTTACATTATTTGGTTAGGTTAAAGGGTGTTCCTTTTTACATTATTTGGTTAGGTTAAAGGGTGTTCCTTTTTACATTATTTGGTTAGGTTAAAGGGTGTTCCTTTTTACATTATTTGGTTAGGTTAAAGGGTGTTCCTTTTTACATTATTTGGTTAGGTTAAAGGGTGTTCCTTTTTACATTATTTAGTTCGGTTAAAGGGTGTTCCTTTTTACATTATTTGGTTAGGTTAAAGGGTGTTCCTTTTTACATTATTTGGTTAGGTTAAAGGGTGTTCCTTTTTACCTAAAAAATTACAATAGTTTTGAGAAAATTACATTAAAGGGACTGTCTGCTAAATTTCAGGTGACCCTTCATGCAAAGATGGCAATGCCCGATTCACAGCGAAACCTTAAAACCTCTGAAAAACTATGCATGCATTAGATATCAATGTTTTTAATTGGTCAAATTAATACCTTGAGTCCAAGAGCCGTCTTCCCATTCCACAGTTTTCTGGTTCGCACTGTGCTCCGAATAAATGTTTACTGTGAGGTTTATAAGGAACAAAATCAATCCCTTTTCTGTGGCTATAAGTTCTATTATTTCTAGTTTTTCATATACTTCCAAGTCTAAGAAATGTCAAATTGAAACTATAGCTGTAAGAAGAATGAAGTGGTTTCATTACTAATTGCAGGGGGTAACTGTTCTAAATCTTGACAGTTTTAAAACAAGTTTCTCTAAAGTTAAAATCCACATTTTATAACACAATTTTTACTCTAATAATATCTTTTTATCCCGCTTTGTTGAAAAAAATTACTTATTCCAGATGCGGCATATTTAGAACATGACTGGGATTACAACTGTTTTCCCCTGATATTTGGAATAATTAATTATTTGATTGTGTTCCAACTATTCATAATGTATTGATACAACATAGTTAAACAATAAGTAAGACAGATTTGTACATAAATCATTAATTTTGCGTGTTGTTGAATCATATCTTACCTTATATACAATTCACACGGTGCTCCTAATTATTTCTTCACCATCCAGTTTAGATATCATAAAGACGACATTACAATACATCACTACTTTATACAATATAATATAAATATTCTCAGATTTCTCTCTCCTTGATATATGCCCCCCCTCCTATCCTGGGGAATTACTGCTACCAGAGCTAGAACCAAGGTATTATACAGAAATCAAATACGACTTTCAAATCTTCACTCAATTCCCGTATTTACTGTAGAAGGTGCCAGAAAAAATTGGACAGTAAATGCGGCCTGTGTGGTTTGTCCTTCAAAGTTGACTGGTTAATGAAATTTGCTCGCATTAGTTTTTTTAAGTCTTAATGCAAAAACCACCGGTAGGCGGTTAGCTGATCTTTAAAAAAGTCCTTGATTTATTTTCCCCCCATACTGTATACAGTATTATTTCTTTCTCAATCCTATTGCACATCAAGTATTAATACCTCTCCAGGGCCCTGACTTGATTTTTCTGGCTTTTCTGTAATTTTTCTTCTTTCCCTCCATTGTTAATACACATTTCTCCAAGAAAAATAAATAACAATATATCTCAAAAAGAGGAAACACTTATTTGGTAAAAGTTGAGACCACTTTCGATTTTTTAATTGACGTGTTTGGACAGCTTGACAAAAAGCTTTGTTTAATTTATAGCTTTAACATATTGGCAACCTTTGGGAAAGAATTTTACTTCTAAAATTAGGCTGACACATAAATGCAGAAAATTATATAAGCAATCAAAGACAACATTCAAGTCTCAATCATAATCTAATCTAATTTGTATGTCTGTACGTCTGGGTGTTTGTTTATTTGTGGCCAATAATCGTCCAAACAGCTGATCCAATCGGGCCAACATTTGTTGTGGCAAGTCAAATAGACCTCAGGAAAGGTTTAAATGATGGTCAACATTAAAAGAATTTTTTCTTTGACATTTATTGTTCTTGAAAGTCCACCAATTTAAACAACAAAAAAAAATGGATAGCGATTCAAACATGCCGACTTAAAAAGCAACAGTTAAAAACTAAAATAGGTCCAAAAAGGGGTACTGCAGTCTGAAAAGCGTTTTTAAATCCTATTTTTTTTAAAGCTGACGTTACTATACTGCTAGGTTTGATTGTGGCGAGGAGTACCTGGAATTCCTTGATGATTATCCCAGTGAGCCACCAACACCAGATTTTTTAGGTAAGTTGAAAAAATTATTTTGGTTTTACTTTTAACATTCGGTGTAGATGCTACAAACCTCACAGAGTAAATAAAAAGTAATGGTACTTTCCTAAAGGAAATTTTCCAAGGCGGACTTCCCAATCTCCCAAGTGACAATTTCCCAAGCAGCAACTTTTCAAATATGCAATTTCCCAAGCAGCAACTTCCCAAAGGTAAAAGGTTAGGCCTTCTGAAGTTCCCAGTTTGGAATGGGGGCCGAGAGCTGCAGCTAGGATGAGCGTGGGGGTCATGCACTACAGCTAAGATGGGCTAGGGTGCAGAGCGCTGCGGCTGGTACAGACTTGAGAAATTGCTACTTGGGGAATTTCACATTTGGGAAATTGCCACTTGGGAAAATATCATTGGGAAGTTGCCGCTCGGGATAGAGCCTATGGAAAGTAACATAATATATATAATAGGCGATAGTTCCACATTTCCCACGATAAACAAAGATTTTTCCAATTTGCAGTTTAAACTTTTTTGTTCGACGAGGGAGAAGGCAAGCCATACCCGTTCCTGTTTTTACATTTAAATTCCTTATATTTAGAAGACAGATATATTTTAATATTCGTTTTGAAACTAAGTACTGATAATGAACATTTAATATTCATTGGAACACTAGCCACGTCATTTGATGTGCCAACGAAAAAATGGTGTGGTGTGCCTTCCCTCGCTCAGACGCCTCAATAATTCTTTAAAAAATGTCGTCTTTTCTATAATTTAAAAAGATTTAAGGAATTTTAAGCCCCAATAACTTTTATATCCATAGGATATACATTTTCTGAAAACAGATTGCATTTGTTTTCCACCTTTAATCTAAAATTATCAATTTATCTAATAAAAAAAATTTAAATATTGAAATTGCTTGTATTTAAAACTAAAACTGTAGCCAATGATGTGATATATAAGTGTAAGTATTAGGTAGATTCCTAATATATGCATTGTCTTTTACTATTCGGAGTTTGGACTATCTTTTCACATGTACTAATGTGTGCCACCAGAATGTTATCAAATTTTTGTTTGAAATCTGTCTAGCTAATTAAAGTTAGCCAAATAGGTGTTGTGAAATATATACAATTTGGGCAGAAAAAGTGAAAAATAATTTTTCTCGCTTTCTAAAATGTTGTTATTTTGTAATGGGTAAGACCCCTCTCCCCTCTATCCGCTTTATTCCCCTTCCCCACCCTTATCCAACCTTTTGCACAGTTGCATTAATTAATTTAATCTGGTCATGTTGTAGCAAATATAGAGGCCAATTGTAAATTACATCGTGCATTGTTCATTTAGTAAATTTGCCAGTAGTAATTACACAAATCCTGTATTGCGATTAACCCATTATATAACTACGTCATACCCATATTGTGATTGTTTAACTACGTTATATAACAGCGCATAGCTTGTAATTACGCTGTAAATACTAAATACACCTCAGTTTAAAGAATAACTCTGTACTGTTCACTGCTAGATAGTAATCCTGAAACCCTGTTAAATTAGATGGAAGCGTCCCCATCATTTGGGATCGATATATGGCTTGCTTGATAGATAGGCTTGTGTCCCTGTGTGGCATTTAGAGCATTGGATCGTTCCCATCATTTAGGTCGATATATAGCTTGCTTAATAGCTAGGATTGTGTCCCTGTGTTTAGAGCCTGAGTTATAGGTCTGCATGCTAGGTCTGTATGCTGGGTTTGTATGCAAGGTCTGAATGCTAGGTCTGAATGCTAGGTCTATAAACCAGGTCTGTTTGCTAGGTCTGTATGCTAGATCTGTATATGCTAGGTCTGAATGCTAGGCCTGTATTCTAGGTCTGTGTATACTAGGTCTGTATACCAGGTCTGTTTGCTAGGTCTGTTTGCTAGGTCTGTTTTCTAGGTCTGTTTGCTAGGTCTTTATGCTAGGTCTATATGCTAGGTCTGTATACTAGGTCTGTATGCTAGGTCTGTATGCTAGGTCTGTATGCTAGGTCTGTATGCTAGGTCTGTATGCTAGGTCTGTATGCTAGGTCTGTATGCTAGGTCTGTATGCTAGGTCTGTATGCTAGGTCTGTATGCTAGGTCTGTATGCTAGGTCTGTATGCTAGGTCTGTATGCTAGGTCTGTATGCTAGGTCTGTATGCTAGGTCTGTATGCTAGGTCTGTATGCTAGGTCTGTATGCTAGGTCTGTATGCTAGGTCTGTATGCTAGGTCTGTATGCTAGGTCTGTATGCTAGGTCTGTATGCTAGGTCTGTATGCTAGGTCTGTATGCTAGGTCTGTATGCTAGGTCTGTATGCTAGGTCTGTATGCTAGGTCTGTATGCTAGGTCTGTATGCTAGGTNTTCCGTTCCCTTCCGTTCCCTTCCGTTCCCTTCCGTTCCCTTCCGTTACCTTCCGTTACCTTCCGTTCCCTTCTCTTCCGTTCCCTTCCGTTCCCTTCCCTTCCGTTCCCTTCCGTTACCTTCTGTTACCTTCCGTTACCTTCCGTTACCTTCCGTTCCCTTCCGTTCCCTTCCAATTTCATCCAATTTCCAAAAAAAATTATTTCAGAAAGCATTTTTTTTAATTTGAAGAAAAATAATCATTTATATGCATAATATTAGTAGCACAAATTAGATTTTATGCCAATTTTCTCCCTTTTTTCCTTCTTTCTTTCATTTTTCGTTTCCTTTTTTACTTTTCTTCTTTTTTTGTCTCAGAAAGTGTGCCCCCCTGTGCCCCCCCCCAAGCTACGGGACTGGTTCCTTAAGATAAAGATTTTCCCCAGACTCCCAGCCCTACAACTAGTTTTTAGATAATTAACACTGTGCATCATTTTATATTGACAACTCAGTTTAGACTGGTAACAGTAAAGTCATTATTTTGGATGTTATTATTGAAGGAGTTCAGACGTTGGTTCAATGTTTTTTTTTTTTTTTTAATAAATCAATATAGAACAATTTTGTTTTGTTTTGAACTCAAATTTTAATATTGTTCAGGATTAAGGAATGGTGGTTACAATTTGGAAGATTGGGGCTCATCTTCATCTGCCCCGCCCTCCCCTCCCATAGTATTATTTTTATTATTATTATTATTCCCCAGGTAGTAAGTAAGTTGACCCCTGATAGAATGGGTAAAAGTGAGCGTGAAATTATCCAAGACTGGTTTCAAAATATTCTGAAAACCTGGGAAAAAACAAACGAACTAGAGGTTAGCTGTTCTTAGTATTAAAGCATGAACACTGAACAATCCAGTTAGAAATATTCATTGAATATTTAGATAATGATTATCAATTTTCAACCAAGTATATTTATAGTAAAACTAGTTTTAAATCAATTATGTTCTAGTAAAATTAGTTTTCGTCAAAGTATGTTCTAGTAAAACTAGTTTTAAACTAAGTATGTTCTAGTAGAGTTTTCGACCAAGTATGTTCTAGTAAAACTAGTTTTCGACCAAGTATGTTCTAGTACAACAAGTTTTAATACAAGTATATTCTAGTAAAACAAATTTTAATACAAGTATGTTTTCTAGGTTACCGAGTTTCGATTCACAGCACTGCGCCGCCAAGATTCTTCTTTCCTCAGGAAGCAAACATGGAATAAATCTTTTTTATCGGAAACTTTTTTATCCGATTCCAGTGATTTAATGGAAATGGCACAGCGGGGTTTATTTTAACCACGCTCTGATAAACTTCATCCACACAATTCAAAATCTGGTTCTTTCCTCTCACATAAATATTGGCAGAGATACAAAAAATACTGGATGGTAACAAAATAAATTTTCTTTTTAAATGGAGAGCAAAAGTAAAAGTTGTAAATTTTTTTTTTATATTTGTCATATTTTATATTAAAAATCCTGAACATTTATTTCTTTTATATTTTCTATGTATTTCCTTTTTCAGGTTTATAAATAAGAAATATTTTCAAAATGGGTGTCAATCTAAAAAGTTGTCTTCTGGTTTAGAATATGGGACAGTGATTAACTCATGTGTTCACACAAGATATGTACAAACAACGTTGTTTCGATTACCTTGGTTATAATGGATGGTACATTGACAACCAGAAAACTCTAAAATAGGAAGACGACTATTAGAATAAACTTATAACTTTTATGAGTCCAACAAGCATAAAACATAACAATTGTGTAGTGTAAACAAACCCATTTCAAATTAGTGGTTTGAAAAGTGTCTAGTAAAACTACTTTCTTTGTAACAACATCAAATACACTTGCTATATTGCCATTATGTCGTCTTCCTGTTCCATATTTTCTAGTTATTACTGTAGATAAATGTATAATTTGGGTCTATTTTTTCATTGAGTTGCTAATTAGGAATGGCGGTGTTGGAATGGTTAGTATGAAGAATAAACCCAGGAATTCTTTATCTGGGTTTAAAACAAGTCACCAGCGCCTTAACGGGGAGAAAAATAGTAAAACCGGTTCAATACATAAACATGACGTCAACGATCATTCAGCTAAACCTGGTCAGGATCTGAATAACGGGGATCAACTACGCACAGGTCATGATCTGGAAGGTTTACAAAACGGGCAGGATTTCAAGGAAAAGCAGGATCAAGAATTAAAAGTTTTGCATGAAGCCAGGAATGAGCATGAAGCCAGGAATGAGCATGAAGCCAGAAATGGACATGAAGCCAGAAATGGACATGAATTAAAGACAGACAATAAGTTAGAAAATGGACATGAAGTGCCCATTGGAATTATTAACAGGCATGAATGGAGAAATGATTTTTTAAACTGTCATTTGGCTGGGTTTCAAGAGGAAGACGCCGCTCCTTCAAAGACGATCGGAGATTTTGGTAAAATCGGCGATATTGGGGAGTTTAGCCGCTTCAGTGAATTTGGGAGTCTCAGCGAATTGAAACTGGAGGAAAAAGGTGAATATTAAAAATAACCAAATTCATGTTTCTTTAATAAATAAAAAAATACCAGAGATCAGAACTTTTGTTTGGATATTGTTAATCTTGAAACTAATGATCTCGATATCTAATGTGAGCACTTTTAAATCTGATGATCGATCTGTAAATTAAATTTATCCCTAAAGGATATGACTATTATGTGATATCAAAGAAGAATTAAGTTAATCCGTAGATCGGCTTAATATGGAGATATATTCTTAATCCCGGGATCCTGACTTCAGAGCTGGAAACTTTAAAATAGGATATCCGTAATCGGATAATTTATCTCGAGATTAAGAAAAAGTTAGAATCAAGCATTAATCCCGATATTCACCATTCAAAAGTTCCCAGCTCAGATTATATATTAATGGATCCGCAGTTACATAATTTAATCACATTTGTAAATATTATTTAAATTGCTATATCTTTGATATCCAAGAACTGAAATGTTTATAAAACGATCTTTGAGTCCATCTCCATGTTTGTTTAGGGGAAATATCAACAAATTCGGACACTGAGAGCGGATCTTCAGGATTGGAGAGATTGGTGAGTCAATATTAAGTAGATACATATTTGAAGATATGAATATGAGGTTTTTAGAGGAGTTCGCGCCCTTTTTTCGTGCAAAAAGTTTAGCTTTAAAATGATATAATTTACTTACAAGCATTGTATTAATACGACCATTTTTTATTTAACACTAGACATTAAAAGTAGTATTATTCTGAAGGAAAAATGTTTTGATCTAAAACCCTTTCTTAAAGAGTTATTGAGAAATTAAAAAATTTAATTTCTATATTTGCAACAAAAAAGTAGTTTTCTCCTGCTCAGGCGTAAAAAGTAGTTATTAGTAGTGGTAGAATTACAACTAAATTATCAAAATATCTTTATTACCGTGTTCCTTGTTTGTCGCAGGCAATCTTGAAAGCCGCAGATATTAAAGCAACTGTGAAGGGAAAACCAAAGTTTTATTCTGTAATTATTAAGGTAACAATTTTCATATTTTTTATAAATTGTAACACAGACTGCACAGACTAGACACGTTTTGGAAGCTGGATATCTATCTATATATCTATCTATCTATCTATCTATCTATCTATCTATCTATCTATTGAAAGAGGTTTCAACCCTGACTTTCAACTGTTGAATAGAAATTAAGTCTAAAGTTTTGCAACAGTTCTGAATTCGCTTAAACCCTACCCCCCCCCCCCCCCCCTCAACAACTGTTACAACCAGCGGCGTGGCTAGCGCTTTTTAAGAGGAAGGGCCACAATTTTTCAAGCGCTGTTGTCAGGATTGTTTAATTGTTAAAAGGTTGGCTCTTTGCTCAATAATATACCAAATTCTTTTAATATCCATGGCTTGTTCTTGTGTTTAAAAATAATACACTTCAGCAGCTTTAAAATTAACGACAAGAGTAAATGGTATATATGTTTGTAATACTTATGAGAATTAACATAAATACAGGATTTTTTGGGAGTATAAAATAAGATTGGCTCACTTTTTTCAAGTCGAAAAAATTGTATGAAATTATATTAGATATGATACGCGAAGCACCAAAGAATTTTTTTTTTCAATTTTGTGACAAAATTTGATAAAAGATGGTCCATAATTATGATCATGCTGTTAAGTCAAGAAAGGGGGGGGGGGGNNTAGTTTCGCCACTGCTTATACAACTCTGAAAAAAATAAAAAAAATTGTCCTTTTTACTTGTACTTTTAAAACATTTTTAAAAATCCTACCTTGCACCAAGCAAACAAATGACCTAGATTAATTAACCGAAGAGTCCGAATTTGATGAATTTGAGCGACGTCGCTGAATTTGAATCACCGATTTAAAGTTAAAGATTATAAGGAAGGATTTAATTGAATCGGCATGGTTCGAATTTGAAACAGCGGTAGGCAAGCGAAACTAAAATTCTGTAATAATCAATTCAATTTTATTTTTGTTCTAAACCTGTCAAAAATCTGAACAGTAGAAAGAAAATACATTTTAGGAGGAGTGGGGGGGGGAGGGGAGGATGCCATACATCATTTTGTAAACTTTGTAATATGCATAAAAACATGCTTCAAGTTTTCACCGAACACTTTAGTTTTATAACATATAATGTTCTAAGATATTTTCTTCACAAACAAAAACTCCGTATAACGTCAGTATACGTGCATACAGTGAGAACCAGAAAACTGTGAAATAGTAAGACAAAATTATATTAATACTACATACAGTGTTTTTGATGTGGTTTTGTTCACATGGCACAATTGCTATGTCTTATGTGCATTGGTCTATTGAAACTCATAACTTGAGTATTAAAGTCGTCTTCCTAATCCAGATATTTCTGGTTATCACTGTATCCAAAAACTTATATTTGTTTTACATATTAGGCATAATATTTTCTATTGACATATTAGGCTGATCAATAAATAATATTTATTTATTAAATAAACATCATTGAAAACAAACAACACAACCTGATCTCTGCCAAGCCTAGCGACACTTCGGTATTCTTAAACAGCTAAACACTGGACACATTCATTATTTATTTAATATATGGATTTCTTGTTATTTAACAACACAAGATGGCTAATAATTAGTTCCATCTCGTTCAGGAAGATCGTATTTTGTTTATGCCATCTCTGTTTTCGTATTGTTTATAGTTCTCAGATATCAGCTTTTGATAGTGCTGTTCTATACAAATGCTTGATCAGATATTCACTTTGAAAACTTTTAAATTCAAAGTACATGTTTTTAATCTCACCATACGATAACTTTCGATGTACACATTATATTCAAGAGGAATAAATACAATCCCTCAGGCTAAAAAATGTCGGAACTTCTTTTTGCCTTAAAAAGTGGAAAGTTAGATGTCGAATTATTTGAATTTGTGAAATTATGTTATTTTATGATCAGGTGCTCCCGTCTGATGATTCTGATCGATACATTGTCAACTATAAATTCAGGAAAATTTATGGGTTGAACAAATTTTAAAGTTCAAAAAAAAAATTCTAGCTAAGTCTGAACCAATAGGTCCACTTAAACTCCGGTAAAACTTTATCACGGTAAACAAATTTTAAAAATGGTGCAAAAAGATTTTAAAATTTTCATCTTTTACAATTATTATTTATTTCCTTTTCTCTTATACAAAGATTATGGTTTGCATTTTTCTCTTTTTTATTTATTTCCATATAACTTTTCTAATTTTAATTCCTTTCTTTTTTTGTTTTCTTTTAGCACTAATCATTTATACGTTGTTCCTGTATTTATTTTCAAATGATCTGAACTAAGTATTGACATTGTTGAATGAATCCATAAATTAGCAGGCAGCTTCTAAAGTTTAGTAAAGAAGTTCAGGTCTACATGAAGATTATCAAGTGTATGTACATGTAAGTATTCAAGTGTATGTACGTGTAAGTATTCAAGAATATGTACATGTAAGCATTTAAGTGTATGTACATGTAAGTATTCAAGTGTATGTACATGTAAGTATTCAAGTTTAAGTGTATGTACATGTAAGTATTCAAGTGTATGTACATGTAAGTATTCAAGAATATGTACATGTAAGCATTTAAGTGTATGTACATGTAAGTATTCAAGTGTATGTACATGTAAGTATTCAAGAATATGTACATGTAAGTATTCAAGAATTACATGTAAGTATTCAAGTGTATGTACATGTAAGTATTAAAGTATATGTACATGAAAATTATCAAGTGTTATGCACATGTAAGTATTTTTATTGCACCATTGGCTCAATAGTTAAACACGTCAAACTGAAGTAAATTGAATAAGATTGAAATTTTAAACGTTTTCAATCATTCAATCTCTTGAATTAATTTTAGAGAGTTGATAATATCAACTTTATCTCTGAGATATTTGAATTCTACGCCTTGCAAATTCAACCAACCGCTAGGGGATCAGAAGGCGCTAGTATCGGCTCTGGCAGCCATTTTCAATAGCTAGTTGCCGGCAAAAAGAGCACAGATTTACTCAGGAAAATTGAAAAAAACATACAAATAGTATGAATTTCCAGTTTGCAACTGGATAAATTTGCTCCTGTCACCCTTGTACATAAAATCAAAACTGGAGGAGCTACAAGGTCCCAAAGTCGTAGCAGTATTGTCGCATAATGTTTACCTTGTCTTTCTGTTTATAGTTTAGTGTGTCTATAGGTGGATATTTGTCCCAAAAAAATGTTAAAATAAAAGATGAAGGGATTAGAAAATATAAGTTTGAGGCAAACACTGAACTTATTTCTTTTCAAATAAGCATTATTCAGTTCTAATTATAACTATATTTTATTTATTCTATTTATTCGTACACAATTATAATGGTACAATTTAAAATCAACTAGAAATGAGATATATAACATATAAAATATAGAATTAATATAAAGTCGAAAACAATAAAATAAAAAATAAAAAATAAATAAAAACTTAGTTAGTTTTTACATATATCATCAATAATTACATCTATTTCATCATAGTTAAATCCTTCTAAAATATTTGGATTTGACCGGATTAATAGTAAATCTTTTAACAGTGAATTCTCCACGCATTTTCAGCCGGTGGCCGAATTTAAAGAATTTGAGCGGCGGTTTAAATTTAAGCCGCGGTTTAAATATGGTTGGTTCCACTTAAAATTGTATCAAATGTTTCAAGATCTAAGCCGGCGCTTAATTTAAACCGAGTTTTGGAGGATTTAAACCGCGGCTCAAATTCTTTAAATTCCATCTCTGATTCGCGTAAATCATGTTTGACTTAACTAGAGACTTGTTCAAGGACAGTTTATCTACAAAGGTTTCATTTGCAATATTAGATAAATTCTTACCTAATTTTGTTCTTTGGTCATTTTTGCATAAATCAAACAATAGTCGGATGCTGAGCTTGCGACTTTTACACATAGATTCGCAAAATGATACAAATCGGCTACACAACATAGCTTTTAAATGAATTTGCTCAGAAATTTGTTCAATAAAATATCTATTAGTTTGTCGTGGCAAACCAAATAAAATACGAATAGCAGTATTCCAAGAAGTATACAATTTTACAGTGTTAACACAAAACAAATCCCATAAGTTGGAATCATATAGACTAGATGCATCTATGTTATAAAGCTTAACAACCATTGTAGGTTCAGAAAAATGAAATTCTTGATTCAAAGAGTGAATTATTGATATAAACTTCGCACGTTTCAAATTACAATCTCTGGTCATAGAATTATCGGATTGAAATAGATTTCCAAGATGTTTAAATTCATCTACATATGGTAATGGGACACCATTTAGAATAATCTGACATACATTATTACTATCAATATTAGATTTATTGAAAATAACACATTTAGTCTTGGATTTGTTTATGTCCACGTTCAACTTCAATTTACGATTTAGTGCAAATTTCTCACATATATTTGTAACCCACCCCTACTTGGGGACAGAAGAATTATGTCATCAGCATAAATCCATATTCCAAGGTATATACCTTGTATTTGACAACCAATCGTAGATAATCTCAACTGTTTTATCAAATCATTTATATAGATGCAGAATAATATCGGAGAACTAACCGCTCCCTGTCCTACTCCGTTTGTTACTTGAAAACCATGGGATAGAGAATCAGTCCATTTAATATTGCAAGTTTGGTTCTTATATATATGTATGAGACATCTTAGAGATAAAACTGAAATGTTTCTTTCCAAAAGATCGGGGAACAATTTATCCCAAGATACAAGATCGAACGCTTTGGATAGATCCATAGCGCATGCATAAACTGGCCGGCTAGTTTGATTATAGTAATCAATTACCGAGGATATATTTATTTATTTGTACAAAGAGTTTTCACTACTGAGGATCGTCATGAGTCGTGAAACATTATTTTTATTATAATCCTTTTTAATAAAATGTAAAGTTTAAAAACTGAAATATTCATATATATATATACATATCTTTCAGCTATCAGAATTTATAAAAACTTAAACATTTGTAAGAAAAATATTTAAAAAAACACTTGTAGTAGAATGAAAAGTCCAATGTTTACAAAGTATACATTCAAACTCAATTATTCGACTAGAGCCCTTCAGCCTTGGTTACAAAAACAAGGGGAAAACATTAAAAATAAACATTTATCATGATATTTGGAAATTGAGATGTACAGATTGAGATATATTTGGATATTGAGGTACATAGATGTTCAGATTGAGATATATTTGGATATTGAGGTACATAGATGTTCAGATTGAGATATATTTGGATATTGAGGTACATAAATGTTCAGATTGAGATATATTTGGATATTGAGGTACATAGATGTTCAGATTGAGATATATTTAGATATTGAGGTTTATATACTTATATATAATCAGGGAAGAACCAGTAAAAAAACAAGGAAAAAACATTTTCAAAGATTTTATTACAAATATAAAAACCCTTAGTATAGAAGTGCGTCTGTAGAAGCGTTCTTTTCATTTGATTGACTAAATTATTAATACACTTACTAATTAATTGATCTTAGATTTGATGAGAAGCGGTACAGCAGTGCTTGCATTGAACCCCCGATACCTAAACTATACTTTGCCCAGTTAGATGCTCTTAATGATTGTATAGTCATAGAAAACTTAGAACAGGTAAACAGGAACATAGAAAACTTAAAACAAGAAAACAGAAACAAAGATAACTTAGAACAGGTAAACAGAAACATAGACAACTTAGAACAGGTAACATAGAAAACTTAGAACAGGTGACAGAAACATAGAAAACTTAGAACAAGAAAACAGAAACATAGAAAACTTATAACATGTATACAGAAACATAGAAACTTAGAACAGGAAACAGAAACATAGAAAACTTAGAACAGGTAACGGAAACATAGAAAACTTAGAACAGGTGAAACATAGAAAACTTAGAACAAGAAAACAGAAACATAGAAAACTTAGAACAGGTAAACAGAAATAATTAAAAACAATAAACAGGTAAACGATAAGAATTTAATTTAAATAGAAAACATAGTATTAAAATAATAACAAGAATGATCATAATACACCGCAACAAAAAAAAGATAAATCAATAATGATAATAATTTTAACAACAATAGTGATAATGATACAAAAGGGTATTGTATTAATAATGATTATAATAATAATGATAACAATAATAACAACAATATTGATGATCAATATAACCTACAATTATCCAGGATGGGTTTGTAAAGTTTGGAGTAAAGTTCCCAGGTCAAAGAATGCTTTCTGATATGGACCACTGCAGAGTTGTTCTCAGGTAGTAAATGTTTTATATCATTTTATTAATTTTCATCATCATTTATTATATATAAAGCTAGTTGACGAAAAACACTTTATTAGATCAACCGTAGTTACTTGGTCAAGTAAATTTACTATTTGATCAATTAAATCCTGATTGATCAAGTGAATTATATTTGATCGACACAATTGTGTTTGATGTTATTTGATGAAGTAAAACCTATTTGATCAGTTAAATGCTATTTGATCAAGTGAATGTTATTTGATCAAGTAAATGTTATTTGATCAAGTAAATGTTATTTGATCAAGTAAATGTTATTTTATCAAATAAATTTTATTTTATCAAGTAAATGTTATTTTATCAAGTAAATGTTTTTTTTATCAAGTAAATATTATTTGATCAAATAAATGTTATTTTATGAAGTAAAACCTATTTGATCTCTTCCGTAGTTCTACCGAAATTTCCAATCGAAACTCGAGGGAAATCGGTCAAGGGGACATACACAAAAAAACAGTCAAACAGAGAGTATTGATATTTATAGATACTAGGCTTTAAGGACTCTTCGCGCCTATCTTCAATTTCAACTTTTAAGTTTGGCTTTATCTGTAAACATCTTCACTTTGTACAGTATAAAACAAAAACAAAAAAAGTTTACGGATTTCATAATTTTTTTCGCGCATTTTCAAAATTTTACAAAAAATAAAAATGTTTTAAGCACAAAGGAATTGAGTCTTTGCAACAAATCGCAATTTTCTAATACCTATATCTCTAAAACAAGATGGAGTAAACTTTTGATATTTCAAACTTTGATTATTTGATCCATCAGAATTCATAGTTTGAAATATCTAGGGTCTACAACATTGGGTTGTTGAGATAAAGGGATTAAGAAATCAGAGTTTGTGGCAATGACTCAATTCCTTTGTCAAGTCAGAATTCAACATTCTCAAATTACAAAAATAAAAGGAGGCAATCAATATTTAAATTGATTGATTCAATTGGTTTAAATTTAAAACTGCAAATGCCATTTTTCCCAAATTCCTTTACTCTCACAGACATTTTTTTCTAGTTTTCATGGAAGTCAATTGGCAACGATCGATATTGTATTCAATTCCGGTTAAACCTGATTCAAATTTTACTTTAAACGAAAACTCCCTTTAGAAATAAAAAAATGTTCCCGCTTCTTTTCATTCTTTAACGATCAGCCAAGTTTTAAGAATTTAAACCACGTCGCCGAACCGCCAGAAACCAATTTAATTGAGCAACGGCTCAAATCTCGAAACACTGAATACAATTTCAAGTGAAACCAAGTATGTTTAGGTGGGGATACTACCCCAAAACAACGAAAGCTAATCTCCACCTATTTGCTATAATACATACTATAGTAAACAATATAAAAATAGTTGAAGATTTTTTGTCTGTTACATTATAACTTGTATGTGTATTTTTAGCAATAAAATAAATCTTATCTTATCTTATCTTAAGCCGCGTCTCAAATTTGACAAGCGGCTCAAAATTTTTAATTTAGGCCTCAGGTAAAATATAGAGATGCTATGTCCAGGGAGGCTCTTTTTCTTTTACCTTTTTCTTTTTAGCAAATTTTTAAAGAAGAATTTTATCTTTTAAAGTTCCGCTTTCCTTTCTTTCATCCTTCTGTTCTTTAATATTCTTGGTTTCGACCGGAAATTGATGTTTTAGCATAGAAATTTCCTGGACTAAAGTTAATTTTAAAATTTACTGTTATACTGTTTATTCCTTGGGGCTTTATTTCTTTATTTTTTAACAAATTAATAAAACAATTTAATCAGGATGAAAATATTTGATCCCAAGACGTGAATTATTGTGGATTATAAATAAATAAAAGTCTTGAGAAAATATTAAAAAATGGGCAGGCCCAAGTGTATTGAGTCTAAGAACATATAATACATCTTTGAAAAATAAAAAGTATGAACATTTACAGTACAACTGCTTCATTGGTGATGAAAATGCGTATAAATACTTAAAAGAAATTTCCTAATATTTACCTCCACTCCATTCACCCCCTTCCCATTACAAATCGCCCCCCTGGCCCTCTGTAGATACCCGGATCTTTCTATATATTTGTTGAGTAACTACGGTTACTATACTGGTGAACTTGAATAAATAGTTTAAATCGTTTTCTATTCTTCTACAACCTTCTAGAACCTTCAACTTTCAAATATCTTCCCATTCAATATCAGAGTTCTGCACTGGTTCAACGAGTGTCACAAAAATGCAAAGACAAGATTTGTGCTTAAAAAGAACATCAGAGTACAATTTTTTTTTTTGGCGCATCCTCTATATCTTTTTGGCCCAGTCTTTCATTTTTCACACTTTAAAATTTCTCGACTTTTAAGAAATAATATTTGAATAGTATGTTATACAATATTTTTTTTTTGCAAACGGGCCGGTAGAGTACAGGATGGTAAAAAGTCCAGTTGGTGCAAAAAAAAAAAAATATTCATTTAGTGGCCCATCATTTTTTTCTGCAATTTATATTAAACTGCCCTAGAATAAAAGGGTATGAAAATGCATTAACATTATTTGTCCAAAACTAAAACAGAGATTTGAAAACCCTCATTTGTTCAGTGCTATCAATAACTGTAACACAGCTTTTAAACAAACTTATCTTATCATGCATGAACCATTATTAATTTTTGTTTAACTGAACCCGATTAAAGGCATTTATAAGTTGTCATGTCCAATTCACATCGGCACCTTTGTCTTTAAAATTGACTTTAAGATTTATGCAGCAAAAACAAATTTCGGCACTTCTTGATGCAATAACTTGACTATATTCTGGATGTAAATGGTATTGTTGAAAATCGCCCATGCCACTTTGGTAATGGAAAGTTGGCTGAAATATCGTCTGCAGTCCCTTTCATTTGATCTAAAAACTTTCCTTCTTTCATCTGTTAAGACTGGTTAGTTTGAATTAGGACGGGGATGCATTAAATTTCTTGAAATATAAAACTACAATAAAATGCATTTATTTCTCGCCTCTGTTTTAGTTTCACTGCATCAGTATAGGCCTCAACAATATTTATTTTTTTGTTTCTTATTGAATAAAGTTTTTTTTTGGATTGGAGTTGTATTTTGTTTTCTTAGAAGAAAGAAACTAAATACTTGCCTCACATTCTTTAATTTTCTCAATTCCTATAACTTTTTAACCTGATGGCTATGAATACAAACCTCTGATATTTAAAACTTTTGTGTTTTTGATCATAAAGATTTTATAGTTTGTAATTTTAAAAATGGTACGCTATCAGGTTGCAAGGATATACGAATTAAAAGAAAAAGCTTTAGACATTTTGATTCAAGTGATTGATCAATATAATTAAAGCATTTTCAAAATGAATTAAATTTCCTTTTCTTTTTTTCATCAAAATGATGATCTGACAACTTTTGATTTGGAAGAAAATGTCAATAGTTGACATTTTAACTAGACAGATTCCGACACGGGTGAAGGTGGTGCTGTTAATTTCAGAAAAATTAATTTATATGATTTTTATTTTTAAGGAACTGTGAGCGTAATTTCAAGTGACCTTCCATTTGTTGCATGTCCGATTTACAACGATACCTTTAAACCTTTGTCTGATCAAGGATTGTGTAGTATATACTGTAACCTCACTCAATCTTCAGCCATACAAATGAGGGTGTATACCTCATCATTGTCCGGACAAAGGTTGAAAGGGTACTGTTGTGATTCAGACATGCCTTTTTTAAATGGAAGGTCACTTGCTATTACGCTTACAGTCCCTTTAATGTTTCTAAAGAGCACAATTACTACATGTTATGTCAAGTAAATGACAAGAAACCGCGCGAGTGTATACACTAGCACGGAGAGTACAGTGCTGGGGTTTCCACGAAATGATCAAATTTTTTTTGCGAACTTTTGCACATCTTTTGCGCGTTTTTGTGCAATTGTTTTTGCGTAATTTGCGCAAAACGTTACTTTTTATGCAAAACATGTTATTGCAAATAGACCAAAATTGACAGTTTCAGAAGAGTATTAAACAACTCAAGGTTTATTAAAAATTTACTTAAAAGTTGATTACTTGCCTAAGACTCTATTTTGCAACATGATGCATGATGGCACACTGAAATTCACGATGTGCTCGATCTTTATGCGCAAAAGTAAGCAAAACAAATATTTGCGCGAAACTTCCGTTAATTTTGCGCAAAAAATATGGTCATTTCGTGGAAGCCCTATTTTTAATTTGTGTTTTCCATGTCACCATTTCTTTTGTTTTGTACTTCATAAAAGAAACAAGCGGATTGCTAGTATGAAATTGGTCTCAAAAAAATCCTGTTCTGACAAAAGAAAAAAAAATACTCCTGATTTGAATTTTATTTTTGCAAGGTTTTTATTTTTTATATAATCTTCCTGAAAAACAAATTTTGATTTTGATATTCAAAATTTCAACCAAAAAAAACCAGTTCTTATATTAAGTTTCTACCAATTATATTCTTAGAAACCGAGAGAAAATTTCCATTTTGCACTCCAGGAAATTAGTTTGAAAATCTCTTTGTTTAATTAAACAACTTTGCGCTATAGTTGGGTCCAATCCTAACTTGTTGAATCATGTGCATTCAACATAATGAATTTATGTACATCATCAAGTTAGACCATGATTACCATGCTCATAGAAAACTTTGTAAAAGAATAAAAGAATGCATTTAAACGGTAAGAAAATGCTACAAAGTTAAGTAGAAATGAAATAAATGAGGAAGGTTCAAATTGGATGGTGTCGAAAAAAACTCATCTTTTGAAATATTAACTAAAAATTAATTGGGAAATAAGCTAATTTTGCTTCGTTAACGGGTAATGAAATCGTTAATGGCCCAGCCATTAACAGTCTATTACATTATTATTGGCGTTCACCTCGGCGCGAAGCGCCGAAATACAAATTTGTATTAAAAAAAATCCATTTCGTTTTCGTTTCAACCGTTATTTTTTCCGAAACGGCTAATTCGTTTTGGTAATGATTTAAAAATTAGCTGGTTTTGCCGTTCGTTAACGAACCCTTTCCGTTTATTTTTGAAAACCCCCGTTTCGTAAAAGGAACTTTGGCCAGCCCTATATATCCTTGCTTTACAACTGAAGGTCTTAATTATGGCAAATTATTTTTTTCGGAAAGAATTTGTCTATGACAAAGATCATGGCATCCACGAGGCTTGCAATGTTAATTACGAAGTAATAATCTTTTTAAATCTATTAAAAATATTAAAGTAATATTAATTTATGAACATTCAAGATAATATGTAATTCGCCATGTGTCCCATTTAATCTTGTCTCTGTTTATTATGATGCTAGATACTTTCCCAACGGAATTTTCCAAAGGGACAACTTCCTAAGGGAATTTTCCCGAATGGCAACTTTCCCATTGTGCAAATTTTCCTGCGGAAACTTCCCAAGTCTGTCATAGTAGCAGCGCTCGGCCTTTTAGACCATCCCAGCTGTAGCGCCCAGCCCCAATTACAGCCTGCAGCGCCTCAAAGTGCCAAAGCCTAACCTAACCCTTGGTAAATTACACATTTGAGAAGTTGCCGCTCAGGAAATTGTCATTTTGGAAGTCGCCCTTGAGAAAATGCCTTTGTGAAAATACCTAACACAGTCTATGTATCCTATTTAAACCTTTCTCTGTGTTTTATTTACCTCTGTCTGTGAGTCCCATAAAAACCTGTCTCTGTGTCCTATTTAACCCTGTATCCGTGTCCTATTCAACCCTGTCTCTGTGTTTTATGTAACCTTGTATCCGTGTACTATTCAACCCTGTCTCTGTGTTTTTTCTAACCCTGTCTCTGTTTCCTATTCAACCCTGTATGCGTGTTCTATTCAACCATGTCTCAGTGTTCTATTTAACCCTGTTTCTGTGTTCTATTCAACCCTGTCTATGTGTCCCATTCAACCCTGTCTCTGTGTTCTATTTAACCCTGTCTCTGTGTCCCAATTAACACTGTCTATGTGTTTATTCAACCCTGCCTCTGTGTCCCAATAAACCCTGTCTCTGTGTCCTATTCAACCCTGACTCTGTGTCCTTTTTAACCCTGTATCCGTGTCTTATTCAATCCTGTTTCTGTGTTCTATTTAACCCTGACTCTATATCTTATTTAACCTTGTATCCGTGTCTTATTCAACCCTGTCTCTGTGTTATATGTAACCCTGTGTCATATTTAACAATGTATCCGTGCCTTTTTCACCCCTGTATCCGTGTTCTATCTAGCCCTGTATCCGTGTCCTATTCAACCCCGTATTCATGTTCTATTCAACCCTGTCTCCGTGTCCTATTCAACCCTGTCTCAGTATCCTATTCAACCCTGTATCCGTGTCCTATTCAACCCTGTCTCCGTATCCTATTCAACCCTGTCTCGTGTCCTATTCAACTCTGTCTCCGTATCCTATTCAACCCTGTATCAGTGTTCTATCTATCCCTGTGCACAGTGTGAACATTCTCCGAGAGTTTGCCAACACTCTAATAGTATCCTGGGATAAAGGGAGGACTCCAATTATTAACCGTCAACCTCCATTCAGGATGAAACTGTCAGGTGTTTAAGCATGATAAAGCTTTGTAATATTCACTAGATATTCTAATATGGTTAAACATTAACAAAATCTGTATTAAAGGGACTGTAAACATCATTTCAAGTGTTCCTCCATTCAAAGAGGGTCATGCTCAATTCACAATTATACTCATTTTTCCGACCAAGCATGAATGATATAAAAAAAAATGTTTTTAAAAAAACAAATTTCAAAATTTAAAATATTTAAATAATTTTCCTAAGGTTAGAAATCTGGCAAAATTTTACCTATTATGCAACCTTTTGTTGAGAGACTTTTATGTGACAGGGTAAACACGATGCTGTCAATATATTGTTGATAAATTTAGACGCTTTTCTTATCACTACCTTTACATAGACACACACACTAAAATTCAATCTTGTTGGGTAGAAATTTCTTGTTGCCAATATTGTAAATTTGTAAATATTGTTTCTGATATCTTTGAAATCTGATGGCGTAAACCTTTCATATTTCAAACTTGACTTCATTGGATCTAGAGAGTTCATAGTTTGAAATATCTAAGGTCTACAAGTACAACGTAAAATTGCAAACATTTTAGGATAAGAATAATAGAGTTTGAGAAAATTAAAATTGAGCCGTACTTTTGTGTTTTGAAAATAACTATTTTTATTGGAGAGTTACGTGGATATTGGAGAGTTACGTGGATATATATTCTTATTATACAAAAACGGTTTTCAATTGCTTTAAAGGTTCTGTAGGCGTGATTTCTAGTTAACGATATAAAAGTCTGATATTTTCAATCATGGTTTGCTTCAAAAGTAACTTGTGCATTTATTCAGCCGGAAAACAATTTAGGAATTATCAGAATTAAACACTTGTTAAACTAGCACAACTGAAAAAAAGAACATTTTGTTTTTTCAAGAAAAAAAACCCTTAACTTTTAGTATGATGGAATTTAAAAGTAAAAATTAAAGGAATTGAGTGTTTGTAACAAACTCTGATTTTCTAATACCTATAATTTTTTCCACCTGATGATGGTGTAAAACTTTGATATTTCAAACTTTAAATCTTTCATCTTAAAGAATTCATAGTTTCAGATATCTATAGGTCTACGGCACCGGGTTGCAATTGCAAAGATATAGAGATTAGAAAAACATAGCTTGTGACAAAGACCCAATTCCTTTCCGCGGAGGAAGAATAAAGAAAACTTTAGCTAAAAACTAGCTGTACATTTTTAATACAGATTTATATTATCAAATAAATTCAAATAAACGAAATATAATTTCAAAACATAAGCAGATTAATCAGCTTGTCTGTCTGCTTGTCTGTTGTTTGTTTGTATCCAATAAACGTCAAAACGGCTAAACTGTTCCGGCCCAAATTTGTTGTGGAACCTCAAATGACCCCAGGGAAGGTGGACGATGAAATTTTCAAAAATTAGCCTGCAACAAAATTCAATTTTCATAAAATTTAAAAAATCCACAAAGTTTGTTTATAAAATCCGCAAACTATTTTGTGTTTTGTTTACAATGTATACAAAGAGAAAATATTCACAATTTTGAAATAAAAGATGGGCGCTAAGCGCACTGAAAGCCTCTTAGTCTGCACTTTACTGTTAGGAGAAACCAACACAGATATCGTGATATTGAACTGTCCATTGCAATGGAAGAAGGCCACACCCGAAGATTGAATGAGATATCCATGATATCTTTTTATAAGATTAGTTTTTATCAATTGTGGTTTCTCTAAATTGCAGAGTATATACTTGCTACCGAAAACGCATTTTAAGATAATAAAGAGAATTTAGAAATAAAAAATAAAAATAAAACTTTTTTTTCATCAGTGTTTTTATAGATGTTTGGCCCACATGCACGCGTACTCTTCCATTATTCAACGAGACTCAGAGGAACAGCTGATAGAACTCTGGCCTTTTGCGGTGGAGGGGGCAAGCTTCAGAGACATCTACCAGGAGAAAATGGAACGAGTTAAAGAACAGGTTAGATCAAATAGATTATCAAGTACAATAGGTGGCAACAGAGAAATGAATCAATTATACACGACGTCACAAGTGTCAAATATAACAAGGAAAACGAAATTTTCTCACATTAGTTGATATGTTTTCCAAGATTAAATAAAAAAGTGTAAAAACAGAAAATAAAGAACACCTATAATCACACTTATTTTACTGGAAGATAAGCACTTTATTCTAAAATTGTCACCATATTAATATTTTTGTCCGACACAGAAACTGAATTTACACTTGTGACGACAGAATACAGCTGATCTGAGAGTGTACAAATTCTACGTTGCCATCTATTGTACTAGAATCTATTTGGGGTTGGATTGGATTTATATTGATGGTTACAGGCTTAACCCTATTCCTGCTGGGGGGGGNTCAAAAAGTATTGGTCTGAGGCTGTTAAAATTTTCTGACTTTTCTTACGTACATACCCACAGCCCTCCCTTTAGGCCTAAAACCGGGCTTTAATACTAACTGCCTGAGTCCTCAGGCACACTGTAACAAACTAAATCTTTGTTTTGACCCACTTCCACTTGTCAAATTTTGATAAGATTTAGCTTTTTGGAAAGCCTTTGACATAAGGAAACGAATTGCACAAGTTTTGCGAAATAAATTGCAAATTTTTTGCAAACAACCTGTCAAAGGAAATTTGCACATTTTTAGTTTTTCTTGATTAAAAATCAGGTTATTTAAAATTTTGCAAAAATCTTTGCATATTTGAAATGGCATGATCAAGGGCTATTCAAAAATGTATAATTTTTCATTTTTTGGACAAATTTTTTTTTGCAAACATTTTTACTATATAACTGGATTTTGCGATAAAAAAATTAATTTTTCCAAATTTGCAAATTCTTTTGCAGATTCTAAAAGTAGAGCACAAGATGATGTATCATTTGTCATATTTGGACATCAAACATGGGGTTTAGAGGGGGGGGGGTCAAATTGACCCCCTCCCAGCATATCCTGGTTTTCAAGTACCCCAACAGAGATAGGGTTAAGTATAGTCTGATAGGCTTTTCAGCTTCTCCCGGTTTCAACAAAACTGCATAATAACGTATTCGATTCTTTCAATTTTCCTTTCTAATTTTTTAGTTTTTGGTAAACAAATTTCAGCTGAAGACAAATTCCAACAATAAATTGATTTTTCTTTTCTTTTTTGACGTTTTCTTGCTCATCTCCTGTCACTTAACCCCCCTTCCCCCCCACTCTGTTTTGTTTCTTTTCCCCTTTCCCTTCCCCATTCTCCCTGTTTTGGCGTCAGAGACTCAACCCAAAAAGGATAGTTTTCAAAAATGATCGTACTAACCAGTCTGGCTTTCTTAGCAGAGGTTTTGTGCGGCATCTTTCTAGCTTTATTTTTTTTTTTCTTCTTCTCTATTATAGTCTGCTCTTCTGGCATTTGCTTACATTAGCTTTCTGCTGAATTCCGTGTTCTTTGAATTTGCTTCTCTAAACTTAACAATTTGAATTATAGCTTTCCTAAGATGTGCGTTGCTCCTTACATCCTCAAATCTTTGTCGCTCACCCCTTCTTGATACATTTATTGCTTGTTTGACTTCCTGCATGATCTCCATTATGAGTTTGTTTTCCAATTTGGTTAGAACCGGGATGTCTTTAAGGTACAGGGTGTCCCAAAAAACATGGGAATTCAGTGACGAATTCGATATCGTCTTTTTAACTTATTTTTTGATTTAGTTTAGTGATACCTACTAAGAAAGCTGTAATCTGTAAGACTTTCGTCTGCTATGTTCACATTTTGTTTGTTTATGTTTTGACTGCATACGGTTGTACTTAGTAAAACAAGAAAATTGCAGTATACAAACAGAGTAAACTTGTCCGTCCTCACTGTTCATCTTGCGGAGACATTATAAACACATCTTTACAGTCTTTTATTCTTTTCATAAAATAAACTCTAGCAGACATAATAATATTATGGCTCTTGAAATAGGTATTACTATGCTAATTCATAACAAAGACGATATCGAATTCGTCACTGAATTCCCATGTTTTTTGGGACACCCTGTATAAAATGTTCTCTTGAGTAATATTGCACTTCCGGTTAAATAAAATGCGGAATTTTTATTTCGAAAAATGTTTTAAAAAATGTCCAAAACCAGTTTTTATCTTTTATTTTTAATTTATTTTCATGTTCGAACTTGATTTAGAATTTAAAAGAATTAATAATGAATATTAATCATGGTTTTGTACTGCTACTTACATAGAGATTTGGTACATTCGACTTTTTTCATTTCAGTTGTTCATCGTTTGTGAACGACCCAATTGATTCTTTATTTTTCAATCGTTAAAAAAAATTATTTCGTTCGTTTTCAAAATTATCCTTTATTTTCCAACTATTTCGGTTGTTTTCGCATTAAAAGATCGTTCAGTAAAAAAAACGATAATTTTTTCAAAATTTTTATCGAACAAATTGTTTCTTTAGTAAAAAATCTATCGTTTTTTATAAAATTTTGTTAAAGAATCGTTCCTTTAAAAAAAACCTTTTGGAAAATTCGTTTGTTCGGTAAAAAACGATCGATTTATCTAGTTCGTTTGATTTTCCAACACTTGTGCGTAAAATCAAACCTAGAGGAGCTAAGAGGTCACAAAGGGGTACACGTAATATCGCATATACTTTTAAACATCTTTAGTTTGCGGTGTAGAGCAAAGAAATGCCAGATTTCTTTTGTTCAACTCTAACATGATCTTTTCTGTTTAAACCTTACTGTCTAAGATTTATCAGATACTATTTATATTGACAATAATATTTATTTGTTTGAGATAGTATCTGCTACCTCTTCTCTCATACAAAACTGCAGAATCAGATATTGGAGCAGAATTATACTTTTACATTCTTTCCCCGTTGGCAAACTTGAACCATTGTTCGCCATTTGCAAATCAGCTGACAGCTGAATAGAAGGTTCTAGATTAATACTATCAACATAGGGAAGCGGGGGGGGGGATAATGGACTTTGTTTAATTTTCTTATATTGGACAATTTGCAAGGGTAAAAATGTGGATTTAATGATAATAGGTTAGTATTGTTGAATTGACATGACCTTTAACATTAGTTCCCGGAAATTTTAATGACTAATTATTGTTAGACATAAACTAAAATATGTTAATTGCGTTTTCTTCTTATCTTTCGTGCTTTTTACCATTGTGCGCTTCGTGTATTAGATTGCACAGGAACCAGACAGCTATGCTAGTTTGCATCATGATGCTATTTTCAAGAAAGGGTCGAATTTGAAGTGTCCTAACTCCAAACGCTTTAATTTTACATTTGTATCCCTAGACAAGTACATTTTATATCAATTTCAAGCTTGTTTAGAGCAAAGGAAGTAATTTTCAAATGTTATCAGATTTTGCTTGAGAAGTTGAGAGCGTGCACAATGTTATATAAACCCTGACTTTTAACACCTGTTATAATTTTAGAGTCACATTACATCCTTTGTAGATGTTTTCTTCATTATGCTTTGAAGCCTTAAATTTATCGTTGTATTGTGTGATATGAGACCACAGACAAACCCTAATAAATAGATAGTAGCTTACAAGGATGTAATGCAAGGAAAGTTATTTCAGAAGTGTTTGCATCTTTTGTACTGCAGTGTACTGTCTCTGGGCGGTAATGTAAACACAAGACGGATGTTACAGCCTGACATGGGATCCATCTTTCACATAAAAAAATCAATGAAATATTCTGGTAATAGGAAACTATTATGTGAATTATCAAAATTATCAAAATTTAATGCTTTAAACCTCCTCGGATACAAAACGAACACTGATGCATCTACTCTTGTTTACAAATTCCGCCCAAAGAGAACTGATTTTAATATGTACGCAGAGTATACACAACCGCAATAAAATTTCCTTGCCTTACATTCTTGAAATAATCTAAATATGAAATATCGAAGGTTTAATTTGTACACCATCAGGTTGCTAAGAAATAGGGATATGAAAATTTGAAAATTGCAATAAAAAAGTTTTTGACCTGTAGTTTATATATATTTGTATTCTAACCTTGTTTTGTGTCTATTCTCTTGTATTCTGTGTTTGTGTGCGGTATTTGTCCCAATGTTTTGATACTGCAGGATACATAATACTTGATCAACAAGGACTGGAAACTTAAAAGAGTGAAAAATCAAAGCTGTGTTTTCGAATCTAAGTATATAAGGACACGATCAGTACAACTGTTAAGATCTACGAGTACATGAGTACACGATTAGTACGACTTTTCATATATGAGTACATGAGTACACTATCTGTAAAACTGTTGAGATCTAAGAGTGCATGAGTACGAGATCAGTACAACTGATTATATCTGTGATGACATGAGAACACGATTAGTACAACTTTTCATATATGAGTACATGTGTTTCGCTACTTAGCGATTTCCCTAAAGACCTAATATATATACCGTGTGGTATTTCTCAGGACCGGATCGTAAGACTCCCTTCTCTCAACGCTCTTCATAATAAAAGGATGATAGTAAGGTTCCGAACGTTTATTTCTCTGAGCCTTCAATCTAAATAAGTTTAATAAACCCACAGAAAAAGCTTTGAGTGATAAATCATACAAATACAACAAATAATTCACTCAGGAATTAAAAAACTGTGGCTAGGAACCAACAAACACATATATAAATATCAATCATACTATAATCAAAACGATAAGCATAAGTATATATAAAAATAGTTACCACAGTGATCCCAGAATTCTAGACACGGCTAAAACTTGCAAAACGAATAAACATATACTGATATAAATTATTTACTACTCCGCGAGAAATCTTGCGCCTGCGTAGTCAGTCTGTAAACAGTTCCTAAACTAGTTCTTTCACAATACATTCCGTACAGATCCTCAGGGAGAACTCAGAAATACACAGGGGTGACAAGCAGACTTTATACACGCAGCATGGCTCGCGTAACAACATGAGTACACGATCAGTAAAACTATTCGGATCTATGAGTACACCATCAGTAAAGTTGTTAAGATATCTGAGTACATGACTACAAGATCAGTAAAACTTTTAAGATATATGGGTACATGAGTATACAAACAGTAAAACTGTTAAGACATATGAGTACATGAGTACACGAGTTCAGTACAACTGTTTAGATCTATGAGTATATGAGTACACGAGATCAGTACAACTGTTTAGATCTATGAGTACATGAGTACACGACCTGATAGTACAATATCAGTAGAAACAGAGGAGAAAGTTGAAAGTGCTATACAGGTAAAAAATGAACTTATTATAAAATGTCAAAAAATATTTATTTAAAGGGACTGTAACCGTAATTTGATGTGTCCGTCCATGCAAAGATTTACAACCATACCCTTGAAACCTTATACTGATTAAACATTTGGAAGATGACTTCGTTTTTCTGACTCAAAAAGTGTGTTTATGAATTTGAGATTCTTCATTGCTTCTTATAAGCAAGAAATGCACAAATCACTTTCACAAAAAATATCGCAAATGAAAATAAAACAATAAAATCTAATTTATACTTAATCAGGTAAAGCTGTTGTAAATCGGAAGGTCACTTGAAATCACGATCACAGTCCATTTAACAGAATTAAAACTTTAAAAAAAAGTCAAAAGAAAATATATATAAAAAAATTATTATTGTAAAAATATGTTTAGATCAAAACTTGACAAAAAAAAGAAATTAATCAAATTTATTTTTCTAAGGAATTGTTTTGGAAACTGGTAGAGTTGAGAGTGCCACCGGAAAACGAAAGGTACAAATTTTTGACTAATTTTTGTATTTTTTTCTAAAATTGATTCTTGATTTTAAATGAAGTTTTAACCTTTTCTTTGAAATAGTCTCTTTTAGATGAAGGTTTTCTTGAATCTACACCGTGTCTAACAAAACATCACAGTTGATAAATAGTTTTAAAAGTCTTGTTCAGTATATATTTTGATACTAAAGAGTATGATAAAATAATAATAAAATATAGAAAAATTGATTTCAAAGTAAAATGTAAACATTTGTTTAACGAATTAAATTGCGAAAAGTCTTTAATATCTTATCTAGTATAGGGAAGAAGACATTCAAAACGATTAACCAACTGTTATTTTTTGTGGGACACCTTGTAGCTAACTTTCTAATACTGACATTGTTTGTCCACTGTACAGGATGACTGTTTTAATTCATGGCTGTGCTGATTTATCCAACCTTCACTTCTCTTACGACGAGTATTCTGGAAGGCCAAATCAGGTCAGGTTAGGTCAGAGGTCAAATATGTCATAATAGGTCAGAAGAGTAGGCCATGCTAGGTAATGTTAGAGTTAAAATAGGTCACAATAGGTCAGACACCTAGAGTTGGTCATGCCAGGCTTGGCCAGAGGTCAAAAAGGTCTTAATAGGGCAGAAACCTCGAGTAGGCCATGTTAGGTTAGGTCATAGGTCAAATAGAACATATAATAGGTCAGACACCTAGAGTTTGCCATGTTATGCTAGGTCATAGGTTAAAGGGACTATAAAGGAAAAATGAAATGGGGTGTAGGATGAAACCTGAGAATCTCAGGCGTTGATGCTCCTGTCTCGAGAAGTTGATATAAAACTGTGTTTAAATTATATGAAAATTCATATATATGCAATTTTGTATAAAAGTAGTAGTTTTAACAGATCATATTCAGCAAATACGCAACCAATCTAAAAACTATTATATCCCACAGGAGCCTGAAAATCTTAGGTTTGGTCCTATCATAATAATTTAATGTTTATTTTGCATTCTTATTTGGGTCCGATCGGTTTAGCCGTTTTGACGTTTATTGAATTAAAATAAACAAACAATCCAGCAGAAAAGCAAAGTAAATATTTAGATTATTGTAGCATATCAATTGTTATTGTATTATTATTAATTGTTATTGTATTATTATTAATTGTTGTAGTATCTTATTTATCATTACTGTATTATTATTAACTTGCTGAAGTGCATGGCTTTGCCCTTGGAGTTCAAAAAAAAAAATTTGAAAAAAGTCAAAATTAAATATTTGTGAAAAAAAACTTTGAGTCTTGTTTATTTAAGATTGTTTGGGTAAAACACTTAATTGGGAACAAAATTAAGAATGGTTCAAGATGTTGCCAAAACAAATAGTTTGCTAATTTTAGGCCCACAAGACGTGGTTTATAATTTCCTTTTATAATCTCAGCTAAAAATGGGTTAAATTATTGAGAAGTGAAAATTTGTAAATGAAATATTTGAAGTCTAGTGGTCAAAGGCCTTTCTCAAGTCCGAATGTGAATGTTTATTTGAGTTTAAAAATGTTGATGAAAAAAGGCAGATATTGAATATAAAATATTATAAAATAAAACTGCAATGTATGTAGTGTTGTATGTATGTATGTCACCCTATATTTGCGTACTCACTTCATCACTGAAATATAAATAATTTAGGATCTGGTTTATCAGATCAATATTTTCTAATATAAAATTATACTTCGAGTTTAATATATAAATCGGTTAGAAGAAAATTCAGAAATCCGCAAAAATATTAACAAAAATTCCGCAAGCTTCTCTTCGACCAGCGACACAAAATCAACGGATATTAACTATCAGAAGGGCTACTACTAGTAAACTCTTTATTTTCCCTAAGATATTTATATATAAAGTTGTAATCTTTGTCCGATCATAACTCATAAACCCCTTAAATGATTGGCCAAACATTTGATTGGGGAACTTGGTAGAACCAAAGAAATTGTCTAATTTTATATAGTATAAAACAACAAAGTACAGTGGTTTGACTTTTACGAAAAAAGCTTAATTTTAAGGCAAAGCTTTTAGTCTTTATGAAAAAATCCTTAAAAATCCAAGGTATTATTGCCAATGCTCTAAATATAAAAGTAAAATTACAAAGTAGCAAGATACCCAAAACAAATTGTATTGTACGCAGTAAACACCCCAACAACCTTGTTAAGGTGGTTCAATGCGTACAGTTATGAGCATTATATTTCTAAATCTATAATTTTATATAAAACTACGTGTCAACAAAATTTCATTTCTACGACCTCGAGCTTTCAAAATCTATGAAAAGATTTCAAACAATAAAATTTTTCACATTGTAAATCTGTCTTCAATAGGATTTCATATTTCACTGTTGGTTTTCAAACAATGGATTGCAGTGTATCCTAGATATTTTATACCAGGACAAAGAACGATAAAGAAAAAAATACAATAAAAGAATAAAAATTGTTTCAAATGTTTTGCTGGAAAATGTTATGAAGACCTTTAATCTTCGGAATTAATTGAAATTATCTCACTTTTGAAGGATTTCGTAAACCCTTTAATAATAAATAATATTTTTCTCATCCCTGTTTTCTATTATGATATTTATAATGGTATCTGTGGTTTAATGTCTGTTTCCTGGTTCAGGTAATGGATAATCCTGGTGTGGTATTAACCCTTTAGTTTAGATTATACCCTACTAATAGTATCATAAATCTTAACCATAGATTTAAACCTTCAACCTAGAAATATCTATCTCTCTAGGTCCTACAGGCTACATGTCAGAAATAAAGTCAAATTTATCCTTTCTTTGTATCCTTTAAGCGTAACCCTCCATGCTAAGAGCACAATACCCGATTCACAATGGTACCATTTAAACCTTTGACTGTTCATCGATTACAGAGATCTCTGTGTGTAAATCTATTGAATACCGCTTGAATTCCAGTCAAACTCGGTGCATATGGCGTACAATGTGAATGAAAAACAACTCATGTGTAACTTGTGTCTCTTGAAATCCCTTTACGCTAAAGAAAATTTTTGTTTTCTGGCAGGTCTAGAAAGTGATTATTAATTATCAATTATATTCCACAGTTTTAATAATAATAACAATAATACTATTGCGTCAACATGTACCTTTGGACTGTTTAAAATCTTCCTATTCCACAGTTTTATAGGTTCAATTGTAAAAATGTTGATATCAGTATAACACAATTAATATTAAAGTCGAAAAGTTTAATAAGTTTTTTTTCAGGCAAAACTGACGGATTTAAGTACTGTTTCAGTTAGTAGCCCTGTTGTGGATATAGGTAATATTTACGCAGCACTAGCTTGTCATAAGTAAGATCGTTCATTTAAATCGTTCGTTTAGTAAAAAAAAACTATCGTCTTTTTAAGCAATTTAAAAAAAAATCTTTCAGTGAAAATAAAAGTCTTTCGGTTGAAAGTTTTGATCGTAATTGTTCTGTCTGATCTAAAAAGGTAAACGATACTTCACGATTTTTAATTCGAGTGTTCGAGAAAGATGAAAGGGGATATAGACTTACGGCGAAAAATTATCGATAGTGATCGCTACTAATTTTACTTCTATCTGTTGCGTCTATAAGGAGAAAATTGTTAAAAACGACTCTTACCGAAGAACTATAGCGTCCATAAAAATTCAGAAAGTTGCAACACTCGACTTGGATCGTAAAACAATCAATTTAATTCAAAAAAAACATTTATTTAATTATTGACTTTACACATATTCTGAGGAAAGTACACCGCTAAATATTCTTCTAAAAGAAAAAGAAAGTCCAGTTATTAGACAGAAGGAGTTTTAATCTGATGGAAGAAATTTGCCCCTATTGTCTTAAAACTGGACATTTAAACTTCTGTTTATAAGAACATTAAATGTTATATTTCTTCCTCAAGTTTACATATATATACAGAAATACCACTCAGGAAGTTCAGGTTTTGGCCTCAGAAATACGATTTAGATTACTTTTTATAATATTAGATTTATGCTTAGGGTACTTCCTGTACAGTAGTGTAGATCCTACTCTCATATCAAGCAATTATGTTGCTCTTCTTCAGAATAATAATAATAATAATAATAATAATAATAATAATCATAATAATAATAGTAATAATAATAATAATAATAATAATGATAATGATAATAATAGAAATAATGATAATAATAATAAATCTAATAACGATAAAAATAACGAAAATAAAAGTATGTGATATGATAATATTTAAAATAGCACTAGAAAAAGAACCCTGACACTGTTATAGAATATAAAACTATAAAGTTTGTTAAAATAAGTTATTATTCAAAAAAACTGTATATTGCTTTTGCAAATACTTGAAATTGTATTTGCAAATTAATGCTTTCAGCCTGTCTGCCTTTACTTGTGAATACACTATAGTGTATATAAACCTGTACAGAATATAATCTAGTATTTAAATTCTATTCACCACCTTCTATCCGCCACATAAATTTAAACCAGAAATCTAATTAAAATTTTCGGGGATTTCACTAAATTAAAAAAAAATTGCGATTTACTGACTCTCTTAAATAGTATTTCAAAATTTCAATTCTTATCCAACAAAATAAGATACAATCCGTCAAAGAAATTTGCACATTTTTAGTTTTTCTTTATTACACATCAGATTATTTAAGATTTTGCATTAGTTTTTTTTTGCATATTTTAAATGGTCAAAGGCTTTTCAAAAATGTATATTTTATCATTTTTTGGAATTTTTTTTGGCGAACATGTTTACTATAGAACTGGATTTTGCACAAAAAAACAATTTTTGCTAATTTTTTGCAGATTCTAAAAGTAGAGCATAAGAGCTTTCCAATGATGTATAATTTGTCATATTTGGACATAAAACATGGGATTTAGAGGAGGGGTCAAGTACCCCTGCAGCAGGAATAGGGTTAAACGTTTAGAACAATATACCTGAAAGCTTCAGTCCTATTTTTGTTCATTACATTATGAAATATAGTAAATACCATTATTAAACCATTATACTCCTTTCATACGTGTGCTAAAGTCCAAATAATTGAAACTTGAAGGTAACAATTACTTGTTCTTGTCAGGTTGCTCAAGGATATAGATTTCACCTTCTCATTTTGTCTGGTCAAGCGTGACCGTTACAAAACAAAACCTCTTTAGCTTTGTCTATGTCTGTAATTGAAAGATTTAACGAAGACGATTTCTATCGTTTTTTATTGGTCATAACTCTGTAATTACAATATGATACTGACAATAAGATTTTCAGAAATGCATTTTTCAGGCATATCACACTGCACATTTAGAGGCGATGAAAAGCTTTGGAATGCATGGATACGAAATAGAGTTTGAGACTTTAGTTTTAGAATATAAGGTTGGACTACTTTTTATACTTTTTTCTTAATTTCATTAATTATAAGAGGGAAATCTGTGAAATTCGTTCGACTAGGCTATAAGGGCGCTTCGCGCTCATCTTCTATTTTAACTTTTATTTTTTGCTTAATCTTTTAGCTTTTTTTTTTCGATAAAACAAAAGTAAATTTCTTTTGTGAATTTTCAGTTTTTTCATGGATTTCCTAGATTTAATGAAAATTTAAAAATTCTAAGCATCCAAAGACCTTTCCTTTGGTTATATGAGAACCCATTAAAAATGTGGGCCTGATCGGTTTACTTCTTTTGACGTTTATTGGTCACAAACAAACAAACACCAACCGAGACAAGCAAAGTATATATATACCAATTTCGTGATTTTATGATGTGAAAAGCTTAGAACCTCAATTTCTTTTGTGGAAATAAATTGGAAATGAAAATAGTCTCATTAATATAACAAATTTTTCTTTATAATTTTCATAACACCCCCCCCCCCCACCCTATGTTTTCTCAGTATTTCTTTTTTAGAAGAGAATAGACTACGGGGTTATGTGGGCCTGTCTAGTCAAGCCAGCTTTATATATCGTACAAAAGGTAATTAAAGATTTTAATTAATTAATGTATACAAGATGTAGTTCAACTACAGTTGCCTCTGAGTAGTTCAACAAGATTTATCTCCGAGTACTTCAACTATATTAATTTCCGAGTAGTTCAACTAGATTCATCTCCGAGTAGTTCAACTAGATTTATCTCCGACTAGTTCAACCAGATTTATTTCTGAGTAGTTCGACTAAATTTATCTCAGAGTAGTTCAACTAGATTTTTCCAAGCTGTAGAGGTTCTTTGAATTTTTTCCTATGATAGTAAACAAACAAAACTATAGCCAGCTAAAGGTTGAAGGGCCCTGGGACTTCATATTTGATGTGTAGCTTTTTCGTTAAAAATCTATATGAATACTATTTTTATTAAAACTTAATAATCTACATCTAGCCAAGGGCAAAGTTAAGGAGTCTATTGTCATGGCTAAATTTGTCGAGGCCAGCCCATTAAAAAACAACTAGACCTCTAACTTTAATAATGACAGTATTAAGGCAAAAAATATGCTGGAGAAAGTAAAAAATCCAATTTTACAGTTTTTGACACAAATTAAAATAGGACAAACATTACTTTATATCCATTAAAGGGAGTGCTCGCGAAAAATGAAAGGGGGTATAGGCTTAATGCGATAAAAAAGCGCGTTTGATCGCTGCTAGTCTTACTTCTATCTGTTGCGTCTATAAGGAGAAACTGGTTAAAGACGTCTCATACCGAATAACTTAGCGCCCATACAAATTCAGAAAATTGCATCATACGACTTAGACCGTAAAAAGACCATTTAATTTCAAACAAATCATTCAGATATAGTGCAACCTATAGTCATCGATTATCTTTCGCCACATTTGTATATAGTTTATATTTTATAATATTTAATTTTTTTAGAAGACGTTTTAGAAAAAATGTGAGTGGTCTGCGGAATTCTTAGATAGTTGCGCAAGCCGCAAGAGAAATAATCAAATTCAAAACAAATTAATTAAAAAATATTAGAAAATATAAAATATATACAAATGTGGCGAAAGATAATCGATGACTATAGGTTGTAATATCTGAATGATTTGTTTGAAATTAAATTGATTTTTTACGGTCTAAGTAGTATGTTGCAATGTTCTCAATTTGTATGGGCGCTAAGTTCTTCGGTATTAGTCGTTTTTAACAATTTTCTCCTTATAGACGCAACAGATAGAAGTAAGATTATTAGCGATCAAAAGCGCTTTTTTATCGCATTAAGCCTATACCCCCTTTCATTTTTCGCGAACACTCCCTTTAATGAGAAAAGCTAATTAGATTAGTTCTGCTACTTTTTCAACAAATTTTGAAATGATCACTTGCTTTTTGTGATTATTCTATTCTACCGATCATTAATTTGTTTCTATTTTGGTATTTGTAAAACTTCAATTTAGTTTTAAAAATCTGCTTTCTTCAGGTGTGTCCTAAAACTAGTTTGTTCAGGTGTGTCCTAAAAACTAATTTGTTCAGGTGTGTCCTAAAACCTAGTTTTTTCAGGTGTGTCCTAAAAACTAGTTTGTTCAGGTGTGTCCTAAAAACTAGTTTGTTCAGGTGTGTCTTAAAAACTAGTTTGTTCAGGTGTGTCCAAAACCTAGTTTGTTCAGGTGTGTCCTAAAACCTAGTTTGTTCAGGTGTGGCCTAAAAACTGTTTTGTTCAGGTGTGTCCTAAAAACTAGTTTGTTCAGGTGTGTCCTAAAAACTAGTTTGTTCAGGTGTGTCCTAAAAACTGTTTTGTTCAGGTGTGTCCTAAAAACTGTTTTGTTCAGGTGTGTCCTAAAAACTGTTCAGGTGTGTCCTAAAAACTGTTTTGTTCAGGTGTGTCCTAAAAACTGTTTTGTTCAGGTGTGTCCTAAAAACTGTTTTGTTCAGGTGTGTCCTAAAAACTGTTTTGTTCAGGTGTGTCCTAAAAACTGGTTTGTTCAGGTGTGACCTAAAAACTTGTTTGTTCAGGTGTATCCTTAAAACTAGTTTGTTCAGGTGTGTCCTAAAAACAAGCTTTCATCCAAAGAACCCTTGACTCAGGAGGAAACTAGTTTAGGTTAGTTATGTTTTAATTATTCTTAACATATTTTTTTTAAAATATTAGTTTAAACGAAATTCTATAAAGCAGAATATATCAGCTGCAAATATTTTGACATTTCTCTTGTTCTAAATCTTCATTTTCTTGTTGTTGCTCGTTTTCGGTCAATTTTATTTTTAATTTTATGATATTAATTACTGATTTTTTAAGTATTGCTAATAATATGATGTTATAAATTAAGTTATTTTTTAATAGTTTATTATTCAAATATTAATAGTTTAAGCTTTATGCATTTTAGCATTTTATGTCTTGTTGTGATTTGTAAAAGCGCAAAATCGAGCGTTTTTTTGAAAACTTTTTATTTTCTTTTGCAATCAAAGTAATTTAAAGCAATTAAAAATTGCGAATTAAAGAAATTTAAAAAAAAAATTAAATTACAGTTTCATAGGATTTTTGCTAGATTCTGACGTGTGTATTTTGCTTAATCAACTACACTGATCATTGTTATTATTAGGTGCAGTACGTGGAAAAGGGATATACAAATAAAGAAATATTTCGTGGATAAATTAGATTTTAAGATTAAATCCTTATTTAGATATAAGCTAATGTTGTTAAATTATATTTTTTAACACGGTAATGTTTTTAGCTTGGTTTAAAGATTCTATGTTGATTTTTTAAGGCAAACAATAGGTTAAATAATTATTTATGACAAAGTGTGGGTAATCGGCGAAAATAACTAAGAGTAACCTGGGAATCGCCAGGTTTCCAAGCTAGTTATTAAATAAGGAAATTTTACTCATAATTAACCATCAAAATATATTTTCATTTTAGATTTACGGTTGGACAAATCCCAGATACCATTAGACCTGAAACTGACCGCTAACCTGGCCAAGCTAAGCCAGGTCACTTATTTACAAAGGACTCTTTGCCACAAACTCTGATTTTATAATTCCTATTTCTTTACATTCCAATGTCGCAGACCTTAGAAATTTCAAACTATGAACTATGTTAGATCACAAAATCTGAGTTTTAAATATCAAAGGTTTTAACCATGAGGTTGCAAAGATATAGGAATTAGAAAATTTGTGTTTGTGACAAAGACTCAATGCCTTTATAAAAGTACAAATGTTGGTACAATCAGACGATCCATATCATTATATACACCATTTTGTGATTAGCTGTAGTAAATGCTATACTCTTAAAACTTGAACCCAAACTGTATCAGTCCAGGTACAACCTGTCTGCTATCTAAGTCAACCAGGACCAGATCCATACTGCTACAATTTCGTAAACTACCACTGGGCGCGATCTCATTAGCTATCAGTGTCAATACAGACCTTGCTATTAATCGAGCTCTCAATGCCACAGAGGGACACAAAGGTAGCTATCAAACATGCTGTCAGTGTCACACAGGGACACAAGCGTAGCTATCAAACAAGCTCTTAATCAATCTATACCAAATACCAAGGTATGATCTCAGCCCGTATGTTTCAATGAGGACACAATTTCTCTACACTGTAATCAAAGCGGAGTTTCTATATTAACTGATCTATTTAGAAATATCTATAGGTTGCATCTAAAGTTCCAATACATATTCACAATATTACGCAGATATATATCATCATATTAAGCTAATCACAATACGTAGCTAGTCTAGTCGCATTAACAGTTTTGCGCATTTAAGGATTAACGCAGTTAGATCCTTAGTAAATGTAAAAAGTAGTTTATATAGGTATGTTCAAAGAGATATATACTTATATAAAAAATCCTAAATTTGAATGAACTGGATCTGAACTGAACGATTGTTAAGTTTATCATTTAAATATAACAGTTAACAGTTGCACATTGCTTAAAGTGTACTCCATTCTTTTGGAGTAATTTTACCGTTTTACTTCTTATTCCTGGTTATTGATAGCAGTTTGCAAATTGCAAACTTGTCTAATACAATTTTGCGATTTTTCCCCCATGAGGTTAAATTTAGTAAATTTCATTGGATAGAAAATATACATTTACAAATTTTCTTCAAACTGTTTTAATTTCAAGGAGAAGAAAAAGTTTCCCGGATTTTTTTTATATCCTTGCCCAGCTAATAACAAAAAATAAACATTTCAAAAATACCAAAAATCTTATTTACGCCCAAAAAAACACTTAAACCCTTTTTTTAACTCACTCTTTATCAATACATATAAATAGATAAGATACATTATGTAAATAGTTATGTGCAGTATTTACTCAGGATTAAATTATGATTATAAAAACATTTTTCATTTCGTAACATTTTCTAGGTCTGCTCCTGTCCTTGTTCCTATACTGCTGCACATAGTGTTACAAGAGATATTGTTACAGACAGTTTAGAGGTAAATATTGTTACAGTTGGTTTACAGGTAGATATTGCTACAGTTAGTTAAGAGGTAGATATTGTTACAGATATGTAGATATGTTAAAGTTAGTTTAGAGGAAGATATTGTTACAGTTAGTTTAGAGATAGATATTGTTACAGTTAGTTTAGAGATAGATATTGTTACAGTTAGTTTAGAGGTAGATATTGTTACAGTTAGTTTAGAGATAGATATTGTTACACTTAGTTTAGAGATAGATATTGTTACAGTTAGTTTAGAGATAGATATTGTTACAGTTAATTTAGAGGTAGATATTGTTACAGTTAGTTTAGAGGTAGATACTGTTACAGTTAGTTTAGAGGTAGATAGTGTAACCGTTAGTTTAGAGATAGATATTGTTACAGTTAGTTTAGAGGTAGATACTGTTGCATACAGTTTAGAGGTAGATATTGTTACAGTTAGTTTAGAGATAGATACTGTTGCATACAGTTTAGAGGTAGATTCTGTTGCATACAGTTTAGAGGTAGATACTGTTGCATACAGTTTAGAGGTAGATACTGTTGCATACAGTTTAGAGGTAGATACTGTTGCATACAGTTTAGAGGTAGATATTTTTACGGACAGTTAAATCTGTTGACTGTAGATTGTAGATGAAAGGAAAAATTAATAATAAATTAATATCTAATAATATGAAATATCTTTTCAGGATTTGACCAACAATGTAGCTGCTGTAATCAACGGGAAATCAAAGGTTAAACTTTTTAATTCTTTGTTTTTTTTTCAAAGAAGAAATTAAAAAATATATATTTTTTAGGGGTTCAAAGGATTTGACTGTAATAGAGGAACAAAAACTTCGATGAAAAGGTGAATTTACAAAGCAAGAATTTAGTTTCCTTCATAAACGATACAAAAAGCAATGTTATAATGCAAGGAAAGTTAATTGCGGTCGCATACATATTGAAACCAGTTCTTTCTGGGCGGAATTTGTAAACAAGAATTGATGCATCAGTGTTCATCTAGTATCCGAGGAGGTTAAAAGCATTACATTTTGATAATTTTGATAATTCACGTAATAGTTTCCTATAACCAGAATATTTCATTGATTTTTTTTATGTGAAAGATGGATCCCATGTCATGCTTCGACATCCGTCTTGTGTTTACATTACCGCCCAGAGATAGTACATTGCAGTAAAAACGATGCGCACACCTGAAATAACTTTCCTTGCATTATAACCTTGACAATTAGAGTATTTATGACCTCCCTAATTTTACTCATGGGGGGGGGTGTAATGGACTGCTGCACCCCCTTGAAACCACCCAGGTGCTTGCATATTAATTAGTTTTGGTTCCAGGTCATTTTTCCGATTTGGTTCTTAAATAGCTATTTAGGCTGTGAGGCTAAGAATCTGCTTTTATATTGGTATTTCTGTAATTTATGACCAGTATTATCTGAAAAGAAAATGTTGCATTCTTTGCAATTGCAACATTTCATGCATGTACTATATATGTATTAGGGGATAAATAATAAAAAAAATACAAAGTGTAGTTTTACGGAAATTTTTAATATTACAGGATTTCCCAAACTAAGTAAGTAAGTAATTAAGTAAGATCTATTAGAGATAAATCAAGACCATAATACATATTATAATATGATTAACATTCTCATAAGAATATAATTGAATATATCATGGGTTTTATCACAGATTAAGATAAAGTTTTATCATAGGGAGTTTAATTTTCTCTGCATATAAGGAATAGCAGATTTTCTGTATTTCTCCGTTCTAGCATAGTTGACAGGAAATAGTTCAACGTTCCGTAGCTGGTGGTTGTGAGTGACTGGTTCTACCGGGAATAGGGCAGAACTACAAACTACATGCATTGTATAGGACAGTCTGTACTCTGTACTTTGTTGGTTTACATGGTTCCATAAACTATAGATTACCATGATTCAACATTATAGAAGATTTCCTGGTTTATGAGGGGTAGTGCAGAGGTGGAGGGTAGGGTAGAGGAGAGGTAGAGGGTGGGTGGTAGAGGAGTGGTGGAGGGTAGGGTAGAGGAGGGATGGAGGGTAGGGGTGTAGGGTAGAGGAGAGATAGTGGGCGGGGGTGTAGGGTAGAGGAGTGGTGGAGGGTAGGGTAGAGGAGGGATGGAGGGTAGGGGTGTAGGGTAGAGGAGAGATAGTGGGTGGGCTATCAAACAT